TGTCCCACGGAAACATTGTATAAGTGTGATAGACAGTCACTTAATTGATAAAAGATTGAAACCAAGTTTAGAGATTGTGGTACTATCGTTATTGTGAAAATTTATGCTTGAAGGGTGCTCGGTTTATCTGGTTGTGGACTAGGGAAGTTCGTTTCAGATTTGACGGTTGTTCTTGTGCGTCATGGGAAAAAGGATTATTGTGAACCCTTGAAAGGTTAATAGCCAGTGCGGTACGATCATAATCGGCTTGAGGTCCGTGGATGGATCTAAATGTGAATGTGGGCTCTATATCGAGCCGGATGTGTTCATTTAAGCATAACTCTCCTTATGGAGGAGTATTCGGACGTCGGATGTTGTTTCGTCGTTGGCTATTTCATGTAATACTATGTTGTGCTGTGTGAGTTGTGAAACGGCTTGATAAATTTCATATATGTTGAGGTTCCGCGTAACGATGGTGTTATGTGAGTAGGATGGCTCTCGAGATGCCGATCATATATCACAGTTTAGTTGTGCTTGAGTTTTGTAGCGTGTGGCGCTATCGGTCTCCCCAGGAATTTCATTGTGCACTTTGCGTGCTTGTGGTTGAGATTCGAGTATTTCACAAGTATGAGCATTTTAGCTCGGTAAGTAATTCCTTTATAAATTATTATGTGTGGATCGGGTGGCACGCTGCATAGGGTATGTTGTTTGGATCGGGTTCCACACCGCAACAGTGTGATGTTGAGTACCGCTCCCTCTATCTATTTTTGTATTTTTGTTTCCCATTTTCTGAGGAAAGTTCATGACACCTTTTCGGTTGTCTAATTAGTTACGTGGCTTGAGTAGTTCTTTCCAGAGTTTTTTTTTCTTATGTATCACATTCAAGTTTGTAGCCTATTGGCACATCGTGGCAACATATGAGACTTTTGGTCATGTATGGGGTGGCTTATTGCCTGAGCAGCTCGTACTGGGTGAGACGAGATTATTGGATCTGGGATCAGTGCGACCAGATTATATAAAGTATATTAAAAAGCAAATACCACTATTTGGTTCGTAATGAGGTGATGATTCTAGTCAAGAGTAGAGATTCGATGATTTGTTGACTCGGCAGTTGGTTAAGAATTTCTACACGTCTCTTCTGTCGTGGCGGTATTACAAGAGTTGGAACAAGACTTATATATGTCATGAGGTGCATGGTGAGCATCATGTTCGGGGAATGTCGGCTATTATGATCAGAGAATGTTATTATGGTCATGTGAATGATGCAGTGCATGGTGTGAATTCAGCAAAGGTATGCAGTCATGTTCTGGTACATTGTGTGGTGATTGATGTCACACCTCCTTTTTTTACACACCCGAAAGGTATATAAGGGAGTTTTTCCACTTTAAGTGACATTATTCGAAATGGGATTATTTATTTATCAGAGTCGCCACTTGGGATAGTTTAATTGGTGTCCCAAGTCGCTGGTTTATTTTTAAATCCCAAATCGAGGAAATTCGACTTTCCTTTCGAAGTCTGCGAACCAGAAATTCTGAATAAGGAATTCTGTTAACCCGGGAGAAGGTGTTAGGCATTCCCGGGTTCCGTGGTTCTAGCACGGTCGCTTAAACTATTATAATTGGCTTATTATCTGATTTTAATACATGTTTTAGCCTATGGTATATTTTTAACTTATTAGCCGCTTTTAATTAATTTTAGGAAGATTCAACGTTATTTAAAACACGCCTTGAACCACACCACATGAAATGCACCCGCGGTCCACGATACATTTTATTTAACGTTGTTGAGAATTGGAGTTGGGTCACATGAAATGTACACCCGAATTTAGATAAATAAAGGAAATTGATTTAAAATAGAGCGCCTAAAGCAACTACGCACTTTCAAATTAATAACAAGGTTTGCGAGGGCCATGGAAAATTCAACTGATGGCACACCCCGATTTCTAAAGAGTTAAAACTAGTTTAATGAGGGCCATGGGTTTTGGGGTTTTATTTGGCATGGCACACCTCAAATTATTCCAAAGGGTTTATTATTCGAAGTGGTTATAATCGGGTTACATGAAATGCACCCCCGAATTTGGGAATTAGGCATCATAACTATGTCACGGCTTCAACGATGCTTATCAGGTGAAGTTGCTGCAGCATCTATTTTCAACATTTCGAATACTAGGGGGCTTAATGCCCCTAATAAGCAAAAGGAGACTAAACTCCTTTGCAATGAGGAAAGAACATGGTTAATAGGGCTGTTAGAAACAAAAATCAAAAAAGAGAGAATAGAGAAGATAGCAGAACAGATGTTTGCAGGATGGCAATATGTAACAAATCTGGACTGCCATTACAATGGGAGAATATGGATCACCTGGAGGCCAGACTACTATCAGGTACTGCCTATAGAGAAATCTGCTCAAGCAATAACATGCAAAGTTGTATATATCCCATTAAACTTAGCATTTGAATCACATATGTTTATGCTTTTAATACTAAGGAAGAGAGGAAGGAACTTTGGGAACGGCTAATCAAACATATTAAAGGATGTAGCAAGCCATGGATGGTAATAGGGGATTTCAATACAGTGTTAAATGTTGAGGACATAATAGGTGGGAAGGAAGTATCATGGGCTGAAGTGGTGGACTTCCATAATTGTATAATGGAGTGTGAGTTGATGGAAATGCCTGCACAAGGGAACAGATATACCTGGAGTGATAAACATGAGGAGCATAGGATTTTCTCTAAAATTGATTGGATCTTTATAAATAACCAGTGGCTCAATACCATGCCAGAATGTGCTGCAAGGTTTTTGAATGAAGGAATAAGTGATCACTGTCCTGCTAAGGTGAACATGGTAGAAGAAAGACAAAGAACAAAAAAGGCTTTTCAGTACTGCAATTATTGGGCAAAGCATCCAAACTTCCTGAAGATAGTTAGAGAAGGCTGGGGGATCAATATGGAAGGGTGTACAATGTTCAAAGTGGTTAAAAAGTTGAAGATATTAAAGAAGGGACTTAAAGCATTAAATACACAGGCATTCAACAATATACTGACAGAAACAAATGAAGATAGAGAAAGGCTAAAGATGGCACAAGAACAATTGCAGAGGGATCCAACAAAAGTGGAGTACCAACAAGTTGAAGCTGCAGCATATAAAAAATTTAGGGAGTCTTCTTACTTAGCTGAAGAGTACTTACAACAAAGAAGTAAAGCTACATGGATAAGATTGGGAGATGACAATACTAAGTACTTTCACTCAGTAATCAAACACAGGAAACTGAAGCAGGCAATCACACAGATAAAAGACAGTACAGGGAACTGGACAACAGATCTAGACAGAATAGCAGACACATTTGTTGAATACTATGAAAGCTTACTAGGAAGAACATCAACTGATAGAATGAAGACTTTCAGGAGTATAATCAGGAATGGAAGCAGAATAACAAAAAATCAACAAGAGGAACTACTACAACCATTTTTGAGGAAGGAAGTGAAGCAAGCCATGTTTCAGATAGATAGCAATAAAAGTCCTGGTCCAGATGGATATGGGAGTGGTTTTTACAAAGCTGCATGGTCAATAGTGGGAGAAGAACTAACAGAAGCAGTACTAGAGTTTTTTCAGAATGGGAGACTGCTGAGACAAATCAATACTACAAATATTTCTCTGATTCCTTAGGTGGAGGCTCCTGAGAATGCAAGTCAATTCAGACCTATAGCATGCTGTAATGTGTTATATAAATGCATATCAAAGATGATTTGTTCTAGATTGAAGCCTGCAGCCAACGACATAGTAGCAGAAAACCAATCAACATTTGTACAAGGAAGATCAATGATGCACAATGTTCTAATATGTCATGACCTTTTGAGACACTATAACAGGAAAACTACACCTAGGTGCCTAATGAAGATTGATCTAAGAAATGCCTATGATACGGTGAGCTGGGAGTTTCTAGAGGAAGCAATGAGAGAATATGGCTTTCCAGATAGATTTATACAGTGGACAATGATTTGTGTCTCTATTGCAAAGTTCACAGTTAAAGTAAATGGAGAAGGACATGGATACTTTGAAGGCAAGAGAGGACTGAGGCAAGGTGACCCAATGTCACCATTGCTATTTGTCCTGGTTATGGAATACTTGTCAAGAACACTGAGTACTATAAGCAGGCTACCAGACTTCAGATTCCACCCCATGTGCAAGAATAGCAAATTGACTCATCTTATCTTTGCTGATGATTTGATGATATTTTGTAAAGGCAATATTAGCTCAGTGAATAGAGTGATTGAAGCATTAGATCACTTCAGTAGAGTGACATGAATGATTGCTAACATGGAGAAGTCCAACATCTTTGTAGCTGGAGTAGAAGATGAACTTAAACACCAACTGCTGAGAAGAACTAAGTTCACAGAAGGAGTTTTTCCCATCAAATACCTAGGGTTACCCCTATCACCTAGGAGATGGAACAAGATGGATTGCCAGATGTTAATTGGGAAAATCACACAAAGAATAAATGTTACATACTCCAAACAACTATCATATGCTGGAAGGCTCCAAGTTGTTAATGCTGTGCTATTCTCAATTCATAGCTTCTGGGGAAATATTTTTATCCTCCCTCAAAGTGTGGTGAAAGGAGTAGATAGGTTATGCAGAGAATACCTGTGGGCGAAAAAGGAAGAGATGAGGAAGGTGGCTTTGGTTGCATGGGAGAAAGTCTGCTGCCCCAAAAATATGGGTGGGCTAAACATCAAGGGATGCAGGGAATGGAACATAGCCTCAGTTGAGAAATTGATATGGCAGTTAGCACTTAACAAGGAATCTTTATGGGTAAGGTGGGTTCATGAGGTGTACATGAAGACCAATCCAGACACATGGACTCACTCTCCACCATTAGATAGCAGCTGGTACTGGAGGAAATTAAATTCAGTAAAAGAAGGGATGAGAGAGTGGTTCTCGCAGGGCAGATATATTCTCAACATTACTGGGGAGTACTCTATTAATTCAAGCTATATTGCACTAATTGGGAAGACAACAAAAAAATGAAGGTAGCTGATTTGGTATGGTCAGCAGTAGCTCAACCAAAACACAGGTTCATAGGATGGTTGGCAACACTAGGGAAAATGTTGACAAAGGACAGAATGATTGGAATGAGTATACAGGTTGATAATGTCAATTGCATACTGTGTAATGGGGATGCAATGGAAACTCAGGAGCACTTGTTTGTACAATGTGAATGGACAAGGGCAGTAAAGCAGGAACTGAGCAGATGGACAAGGCATGATGAACAAACTACAAGAGTGAGGCAAATGCTGGAGCAGATAAAAAACAAGCATTGGAAGCAATTCAGGAAAGAAGTCATAGCAGCAGTACACTTAGCAAGGATATACTATACATGGAGAGCTAGAAACACTAAAATTTTTCAGGGTAGGACTGTAAAAATAGATGAGATAGTTGTACAAATCAAACGAGAAGTGAAAGAAAGAATAGATTTACTACATATGTCAAAGAAAGCACAGAAATGTAGGGAGTTTATACGACAACTTACTTGTAATTAGTTTTTTTGTATGTTGGAGGCCTAATTTCTATTCTAGAAATCAGGTGCTCTATAAGTGTAACTGATGTTTGAAGTTAATGGTAATTCACATTGTTACCAAAAAAAAAAAAACATTTCTTCACTACAAGTAATACTATCACTTGCACAAATGGACTATGCAGTAACCTGCCTTCAAACTTAGCCTCTAGCCTTCCAGGTAATTTGCATCAAAACAAAACAACAAAAGATAGAACAAATTTAAATAGAATAAAAGCCCGTGAAATCGTTAGTCCACATTCAACAAATCCAGTACCTCAACCAACTATAAAAATCAACTATACAACAACCTATTTTTTCGAATCAACAAACCAACCAACATCATAATAAGGAAAATTTAAAGAAAACAGTGGAGTAGTTTCGTGCAATCACTAAACAACATATATGTGTAGAAAGGCAATAACAGTGAAGAAGATAGAACGAATTTAAAAAATTGGAGAATGAATTATACACTAACTCAAACAACAAATAGAGTAAGGCAATAGAAAATCAATAACAAAGTGTAAATTACAACAAAAGTGTTTACGGAACAGAAAGAACAAACCTTCAATTAAGCTTAATGGCATTTCCTTTGGGATCGAATTACAGGACTTTAAACATCGACTCATCATCCGACCAACAAGATTACAACTTGACTCACCGGAAACTCGAACCGGGACCTCGTCGGAGACTTTTTTTTCGGACTGTTTCACTCAGATTTATCAAACGAGAATGGGATTTTTCTGCTTATTTTGGCGAAGCAGGGACTGCTGCTAGTCGCCATAGCGCTGTCGCCGATCAAGAGTAGTTTGATCAGGTAATCGTAGTCGGCACGTGCTCTAGCAGGTGGAGCAGCCGTTTTCTTTGAAGAAGAAGCATCAACTTCTTTGTTTTGTCTAGGCCTTTTGCTGCTTTGTATTTTTTGTAGGTCTTTTAGGCTGATAGTCCTTTTTGTCTTTAAAATGAAGAAGAAGCTTATGCCTTTTTTATCTTATGGAGAAACGACGGATCTGATCAGAGTGTAAGGTTTTAGTCCTTTTAGGTTGGCTTTTATAGAGGGTAGGGATCTAGCTTTTTGTAGGGATTTTTAGGTTAAGGGGTATGGGCCTAGGAATTATGGGCTAGGTCCGAAAATTAGGCCTAAAAAATGGGTCATTTAAACCCGAATTGTATTCTTTCCCCAGGAACGAGACTAAAAATGCGATCTCATTTATTAATTAATCTTACTTAAGTAAAATACTATTAAAATAAGAGTGACCGCTAAAACAAAACTATTTTTGGTATTTTTCAAGATAAAAAATTACTAGAAAACATTAATGAAACTATTTTTTTGTAATTTTCGTTTTCTTGTAATAAAATAAAGTAAAAGAGTGAAAATTAGTTGAAATAGCTATATTAGGCCTAAATTAAATATTTACGTGCTAAAATATGAAAAATCTAGGGGAGGGTCAAAAATCACATGTCTACAGCTGCCCCTTTGACTGGAAACACGAAGAGTTTTCAGACAAAGAATGACTAGACAGATTTTTGACCCGACCCTTATTTAGTGAGACGAAAACTAAGAGGAGGGAGAATGTGACTGAGCCCTGGTTTCTGAGCTGCCTACATATCATTGGCTATAAAGGAATTAGGCCACGTGTAGTTCAAAAGTGAATGAGGTGATGGAGTATACCGAGGTGGAGTGCCGATTGAGGTGCCGTTCCGTCGAGGTTCCGGTCCGCGGTCCCGTTATTACATCAAAAATCAAAATTGAAAAAACTAACTAAGCCTATCAGCTACGAGTTACAAGATTCCTATCTATGAGTCTTCTAAAGCTTGATCTTGAGTCTTGGTTGGTTCTTCATGCGGACTCTGATCTGAATCTTGATGCTTGTTAGCTGCAGGTGCTGGTTCTTTCTTCTTCAGCTTTTCGGATCAAGGCGGGACATGCGAAGCTTGTGACTTCAATCATATCTTGAGCAGTCCGCAGCTTTCTCCGCTTCTGCATTTTTGAGTTCATTCTTTTTTCTTTTTTCTGGATTAAGACTCGTTCTTTGGTCGTCTCGAACCCTGTGCCTCGAGGTAAAACCTGCTCAGACACCAAAACAAACAAACGAACGAAATTTTTTCTGCCCCAGTTTTCACTAGGAAAATTTCGTGAGTTATCTGTAACAAAACTTTTTTATTTGAAAGAATAAATTCAGGATTGTGTATCCTTTGGGAAGAAGAAATCAGGGGGTGGAGACCCTATATCTAAAATGAAATCAATTAGGGAGTGGAGACCCTATGTTGGAAAGGCGACTAGGGAGTGGAGACCCTATGTCTAAAATAAAACTTAACTAGGGGTTGGAGACCCTATCTTGGCAAAAGGCGACTAGGGGGTGGAGACCCTATGTCTAAAATTCAACTAGGGGTTGGAGACCCCATGTTGGAAAAAGGCGACTAGGGGATGGAGACCCTAAGTCTAAAATCTCTACTAGGGGTTGGAGACCTTATGTTGGCAAAAGGCGACTAGGGGATGGAGACCCTATGTCTAAAATCTCAACTAAGGATGGAGACCCTATGTTGGCAAAAGACAACTAGGGGGTGGAGAACCTATGTCTAAAATCTCAACTAGGGGTTGGAGACCCTATGTTGGAAAAAGGCGACTAGGGAATGGAGGCCCTATGTATAAAATCTCCACTAGGGATTTGAGCTCTATGTTGGCAAAAGGCAACTAGGGAATGGAGGCCCTATGTCTAAAAATCTCAACTAGGGGTTGGAGACCCTATGTTGGCAAAAGGCGACTAGGGGATGGAGACCCTATGTCTAAAAATCTCAACTAGGGATTGGAGCTCCATGTTGGCAAAAGGCGACTAGGGCATGGAGACCCTATGTCTAAAATCTCAACTAGGGATTGGAGCCCTATGTTGGCAAAAGGCGACTAGGGAATGGAGGCCCTATGTCTAAAATCTCAACTAGGGATTGGAGCCCTATGTTGGCAAAAGGCGACTAGGGAATGGAGGCCCTATGTCTAAAATCTCAACTAGGGATTGGAGCCTCTGTTGGAAAAAGGTGACTAGGGAATGGAGGCACTATGTCTAAAATTCTCAACTAGGGATTGGAGCCCTATGTTGGCAAAAGGCGACTAGGGAATGGATGCCCTATGTCTAAAAATCTCAACTAGGGGTTGGAGACCCTATGTTGGCAAAAGGCGACTAGGGAATGGAGGCCCTATGTCTAAAATCTCAACTAGGGATTGGAGCCCTATGTTGGCAAAAGGCGACTAGGGAATGGAGGCCCTATGTCTAAAAATCTCAACTAGGGATTGGAGCCCTTTGTTGGAAAATGGCGACTAGGGAATGGAGGCCCTATGTCTAAAAATCTCAACTAGGGATTTGAGCCCTATGTTGGAAAAGCGTAAAAGTAGAGATTGGAGTCCTAAGCTACCCTTTTTTTTGAATTTTCTTCTTATCTTTTTTTTTTAATTTCAATTTCCTTCTTCTTTTTTTTATTTCACGGAATGAGTAAATGTGGGAAAAACTTGGAGGGGACTTCCCTTTTTGTGGATTGTTGCTGCAAAACTGTTTCTAGCACTTGCGCACTTCTTTTTTCTTTTTTTTTTGTTGCACCTGCTTCTTGCACGGTTGCTTTGGATTGCACCTGTTTCAAATTTTCAAACAAAGAACAATTGTTAGTTTGAAACGGTGGTTGGTTTTGTGGCCTTGATTGTTTTTGATCACTTGATCTCGGCCCAACTTCTTTGATGAAGGTCTCAATTATAACTGCTTGTTTCCTGGGGACTAATTTCATTTCAGGCCCTGAGAACCTCTGGTTTTTTCCAGATTTTGCCCTGACGGTTGGTTGGAACTCAACCTTTTCTACTTTATTTTGCCTTCGTAGGCCTTTCCTTTTCTGACTTCCTTTTCTTTTCTTTTCTTTTTTCTTTTTCCTATTTTTTTTTCATTCATTTTTTCCGGAACGTAGGGGAACTTTTTGGCTCCTCAAACTTTGCTGCGGTGGCTAGTCGCGTGGGACTTAACCTTTTCCAACTTTATTTCGCCTTCGTAGGCCTTTCATTTTTGGCTTCTTTCTTACAACTTCAATTTCAGAGCATTTTGGGCACCTTGGCTTTTCAAACCTTTGCCGAGACGGTTAGCCACGTGGGACTCAACCTTTTCAACTTTATTTGCCTTTATAGGCACTTCAATGTGATTTTCTCCTTCCAAGAGTTTTGATTTCGAAGCATCGGCCGTCATGGCTAGTCGGGGTCAACTTGATGCCCCCTGACAAGGTTGGGTGCCTTTTTGCACATTAGCTCGTGTCAAATGAAAGTCCTGTAAATCAGTCTTGCCATCCCTTCTTTGTCTCAGTTCCGGATTAGAGTTAGACCGAAAGGGATTTAAAGAAAAATAAATAATGCACAGGACAATGAATTTAAACGAGAGGTATCCCTTTAGGGGAGAGGAAAGAAGGACTTATCTGGAGTACATACGGACTTCAATGAACATGACATGCCTTTTGGACTGGATGCCTGATCTGAGTAAACCGTCCGACTCTCAGAAATTCATCACAAATTTGCCTTGAAACCGAGAACCTTGCCAAGACTCTGTCGATGCCGATCGTTGTGAGGATCCTCTTTTCGATCAGGGACGCCCTTTGCGGGTTTTCACGAGCTAACCTCTCTCATTTATCTTCTCACCATCGCCTTATAGTGCTCATTGCAAGTTTTTACTAACAAGACTCTCTCATTTGAATTTCTCTGCTTACCATCGCCTTACGGTGCCCGTGTGGGTTTTCACCAATAAGACTCTCTCCTTTTATTTCTCTCATTTTGACTGCATCGGATCCAAGTAGCTGCATTCTCCGATCCTTGAACATTCTCACCGATTGATCGGAAGGACTTGAATAGGATTTGGGGTAAAAAGAGTTTGGATGGAATTACAACTTTGGAACCTTTCAGGCGAACCACCGCCGAACCATTATAACTTCTGCCCCAATTTCACTTTTGGAAAATTTGGGTTTTTA